CCATTGTAGACAGTAATGAATTGAATAAGGGCAGATTCATACGTTGTAAGATGTTTACTTTGCACTTAATAAAATGTTCAGTTTCAAGGATGGGATTATTCCTGTTAATATGGTTTCCTGTATTTTGTTTTTATTTTTTTTACTTTCTTTTCTGACCTTATACTAACCTCAAGGTGCCTTTTGGGAAATACATGCATATAATAATAATAACCTCAAGGTGCCTTTTGGGAAATGCATGATTATATTAATAATAAAAGCAATAGTAATAGTATCGGTATCAGTCGATATCCAAATCCAAAATATCGGAATTGAAAAAATGTGGATCAGTGCATTCCTAATTACAGTTACAGCAGTGGTACACTTATGTCCAATTGATTAAATTATTTTACATTTTAATTTAGTTGTGGCCATTTCTTGTGAGCATCTCCATTAACATGTTTCGATACATTCAGCAAAGTTAAAATTTAAATTTCACTTTAAAGACAAAGACATAAAAACAGGACATCCTCCTGCAGGATTTATCATAAAATCTACAAACTTCATCTCAATTCCAGATCTTTCTGCAGAGCTCCAGGAAAGTGCCATTTGTTGAGTTTATCCTAAAATCTAAAATGTCAGCTTTAAGTCAAGGAGACATACTGTACACTGCTGTGGTCTGTGCTTCCTGCATCTACACTGCAGTTCCTCTTCATAATTTTAGCCTTAGTCTCGACACCTACAGATTCTGCTTGTTTACCTTTAACTGTCAACTTTTGGCCATTGTTTCTATAAAAAACCTCCCCACTGTTTAAAAACTCCAAACTCCAAAAGTTTCTCACCTGTATCTGAACCTGCTGCCTTTGAAGAAGATGTTACTGCTGGAAACGGTCTTTATCTGACTGGACTTCATGCATCTGGCAAACACAAACAAAGCACTCCATTATCACAAGGAAGTACAAAAACTGAGTGTTCTTCTGAATTTGTCTGTGCATCATATTGTGTAGCCTCGGTGACCGACAGTGACTTATATTCATGTGGATTATTTTTCTGAGATGAAGAACAGATACATGAATCTGCTCAAAGGTCAAGTTTGGAGTGTAGGTCAAGCCTTCCTGTTTTATTCAGGATCATTTATCATGTGAAAGCAGAGCAACACAGACACAGCCGGCGAACTCTCCTACTGACAGTCGATGTGTGTGTTACATGAGTAACACAGAGGCTGCTCGTTCTCGTACTTTAGCTCCGATTGGATGGTTTATGATACAAATGTAATTCACTCCAATTGGATTAAGAGAATATATAAGGAATGTATGACATCCAAGAGGAAATCCAATCCCTTTGCTGTCCGACTTCCCACTAACACTCCAGCCATTTTAATTAGAAAGTCGATATCGAGACTAATTGAGATGAGGACGCTTTAATTACAGCATTAGTGTTTCCTTCTATTATTTTTAGAACAAAATCAAAAAATAAATTTGTCTCAATGTACCAACTAGCTAACTAAAACAAGTGGATCAGTCAAAACTTCTGGGATTGGTTGAAAAATAATTTCCAGAAATAACTAGCTATTTTTTCTACTTTTTTTTAAGCAAAACATTTCTAAAAAATGACGTTTCCATCAGATAATTATGGCTGATGTCAGCACGTCACAACATTAGTTAAAAAAGGAAATAATATATTTTTAAACAATGGCAAAACAGAATTGTTTCTGCACTGTAACATTTCCCTGTGTCACTTTCCCTTGCTCTTCTGTTCTACCACTGGAGAATTTGTTTTGCTCTTTTGTTCTCACACAGCCTCTGTTCACAAGGACAAAAATGTCAGTTTGAACTTCAGTGTTTGTGTCAGCTGACACCCTGAAAAGAAACATTCAGGGTTACATAAAAATGTAATGAACTCGTCTTTTATTCGAAACATTGAAATCAGAGAAGCAGCCACTGAATGAACATTATGGTAAATATATATTTATATTTTCTCTCTTTTGTTCAACAGTGTTTTCATATTAGGGTTTTTTCTTTTTTTTTTTAAGGACAACTTTAGCTACTTCTATTGCTATTTTTGTTACGTTACCAAATAAATCACGTATAGTTTTGTGCAGATCTGCCCAATCATTTTCATGCTCTAAAATTAGTTAATAATATGCAACACAATTTGAAGCAACCAAAAAAGAAGTCTTGTATATCATAGAAGCAGTATTTGGTCATTAGATACTATAACATTATTTTTTCAGGCTGTCGAATAACAAGTCTGACGTACAACAACCTCTGACTTTACCCATGGGCTAGGCAATATCAGAGTGGTCAGTAACCTTGCACTCCATGATCACTGGTACAGACTCCGACGCTCCACCTTTGGTGTCAAACTCATTGTGGTTCAGGGGCCACATACAGCCCAATTAGGTGTCAAGTCAGCCAGACCAGTACAATCATAACATAATTACCTAAAAAGAGCAATAGGCCCATGTTTTTCTCCTTTGTTTTCATGTAAATAAGTACTATATATAAGTAATAAGTATATTAGAGATATATTTATATTTATTAAAATATAATGTGAAAAAACATCATGACCATGAAGTGTTGGTGCATTTTTTTAAATTTCAAAATTAATAAAGCGGACCGATTTTGGCCTATGGGCCATAGGTTTGACACCCCTGGTTTAGCCTATTACCTTTGTTTCCTCCCCAGACCAAACACTACACATTACAGACTGGGTTAACTTCTGACTCAGAGGTTTGAGTGAGTGTAAAGAGTTGTTTGTGACCTTGCATATACTTATGAATTGGTCATGACACAGGCTGCAAATTAAGGTAGTTGAATAAATGTCAGAACAAATGAATTAATAAATGTACGAATGAATGACTTTGCTCGAAACCAATTTCTTCCAAAACCTAGATACAAAAATAGAGTTTCATTCTCAGTCTCGCACATTTGCCCTCACCCCTTTCTTTCTCCCCCTCCCCAGACACATTAGTGTCAACAGTGTCTGCAGATTGGAGACATTGCCTAACAGTAATCAGATGCTACACAGAGACGGAGAGTAGCAGGAACACAGTGTTACAGTTCATCTGGGGAAAGAACAGTGTTAGGTTTCAGTGGTTTTCACATTTGGTTGGGTCTGCAGCAGGAAGATGATAAGACACCAAATGGCTTTCCCGAGCACACACAGTCACACAGCCCCACATATTCAAAGAGAATTTCCTCAAATTCTCTTCACACCAACTTTCTAAAACACCTCTACTTTTGATCTACATGACCATCTGTGGTTGACTGGACTTCGTGGCTGGGTCCACTTCCCTTGTGATAACCCCCCACTGAGCAACAGAAGGTTCTTCCAACACTGCTGAATCATGGAACAACAATGCCACATAGTGGCGACTGCAGGCATCACATGATACAAGAACAATAATATGATTGGCCACAAGAGGCCTAGCCTCTCTCTTCCAGTGGCCTACAAGATTTAAACACACATCCGGGAAGTCGAAAACCACTCCCCACACACAGGTATATAAGCATAAACAACTAATGATACTTTAGAAGTTATTCTTGAGAAGTCAGAAGTTATTCTTGACAGGATTAGCACTGTTGTACGAGATTTCCTTGAATACTTCTCCAGTCGTTTATTTTGCTTTATTGTTGGACCTGTTTTGTTGGACGTTTTGCTATTAAAACAAATCGACCATCTACCGGCTGCTTCCACTCCTTGCCTGAAGACACCTCGCACAGCAAGAATCTTTCAATAGTAAACTAAACGCACAAATCTAAACTGGAATAGAATCTGTTACTGAAAAACGTACCTAATTTTTTAAAAAATGTTTTAAATCTTCTTTTTATAATGAAAGGTACATTTAAGGCTGTGTAGTCTCAAGTAAATTAAAACCTGCTTACTCTTTTAAACGTTTAATGGATTTCGTGGAGATAAGTGTTGGGAATTTTGACACTTTTTAACCCTTGGGCAATCCTTTGCATTTTTGTACACACCGTTTGTCCTTGCAATGATTTTCATCTTGTCCTGGAATATGAGTATTAATGAATATGAGGAAAAGTTGGCACAAGTCATGCAGTACAGGAACATTGTCATGCAGTACAGGAACACTGTCAAGAATGGTTGAGCACAGTATTCAGAGGTCATGAACCGAGTGTAAAAAAATTATATCAGTTCTGCATTTAGCATAAGAAAGGGGGAACATGTGTCGAAATATGTTATTAAAACATGTTGAGGCATGTCTCTATTCCAGGAAGTTCACAAAGAAATCTGGGGAAAGAATACAGTGATTTATATTGAACAAATCAAATATAAAATGTGTGATTTTTGTTGGCATAAAATCATTGATATTTTTCATATATATCTGCATGTAACACAAGATAGGGAATGTGTCTGAATAAGACTAAAAGAATGATCCTCTGACTTATAATGGTTGAAATGATTATGACAAGAGGTCAGCAGAAGGGCTTGATGCTGAAATCAATAAGTAAAGAAATGTTGTGATTAACATTATGATTTTTAAGATGTGAGTAATGAATAGAAAGAAGTGCTGTGGTACAATGTCAGTCATAAAAACAAATGAGAAGTGTGTGAACTGTCTGCAAAATAGGGACAGAAACAGGAAGGATGTTCATGATATGACGCACTTGGTGTTCAGGTCATGACGAACGTAACGTGCACAGGTGTCCAAGACCAACAGGAACAAACACCAGGAAAGGCCTAAAAAGGAGTAAATGATTCACCCAAAACGGAAATAAAGTTTTTTGCAAATTGTATCACATAAATACAAGGTGTAAGAGCTGAACAGTTCAGTTTGTCCTTCATCTCTCCCCTGGACGGACAGGACTCAGTCCAGGACCCTGCCATGCCCCAGAGAAGAGGATTGTGGACTTAAGAGAACTTACAAGAAGAACGTCAACGTCAAGAAACTCCAACATGCAAAAGAGTGGATCATTTCTCTGAGTTTGCTCGCCGCAAAAAGAATTGGATAATACCTCTGCTGTTGCTTGCCGCAATTGCTAAACGGATCAAGAGAGTGCCTCGCCAGAGGGGAAGTGGCCCCGTACCGGGCAGCTAAGGGCGTCAGCTCTTCCGCAGCAGTGAAGACTCAACACACCGAAGGCCTACTTTTGTGACTTCTCCTCTTTTCCATCACCAGGGAGCGGTGGGGTCAGAAAATATTAATATCGACAAAAACCACAGCACATTTATATACGTATGTATAACTACATTTTCTATATGGTATTGATTGAATCCTATTTTATCTAATTACTGCAATTGCTGAAATTTGCTTATGTGCTACGCCCATTATATTCTAATAAATAAAATCTTATGAAACATAACATCATTGATTAAATAAATTTTATCACTTTACTCATCTCTCCGCATACATTAAATCCTGGGTCATATATATATATATATATATATATATATATATATATATATATATATATCTAGCAACATCATAGACGGTTCACCAACAGTTTGTGTCTATTCTCTGAAACAGTTACATGCCCCTGACACCGTTGAGGTGTTTAAAACCCTTTTCCGGCAAGTAATGAGTGCCAGGATCATGAGAGGTGAGCTGTCATGAATAAGTGTGGTCGGGCGTAGCACCCCGAGCACCAGGCTATACCTCGGAGTGAGCACGAGGCGGCAGCGGGGCGGACACTCAGAGGGACGACAGTCAGAAGCCGGACGAGTCACCTCGCCCATCGGACCCATGGAGCACCAGATGAGGGTCCCAAGTGAGAGATCTGCGAGTGGAGTGGCGCAGCCCGCACCCGCTCTGGACCACGGGATCTTACCAGTGGCACAGAGCGCCGATCAAGCTGCTGGTGAGCCAGTAGCCTGGGAGCTAACAACACACACACACACAGACACAAAGACATATTGGGTCTAGGTGACCCAATATGCCCACAAAAAATAGCTCCTGCTCTGGCTCCCAGACAAGAGTCAGCTCCTATAATCAATGATCAATAGTCAATCCAGAGTAAATATTGTCCTTGGAAAGCACAATACCAGAGGAAAACCCTATTCTCACACAACCTGTAAACTGCATACGGAAAGACCAGAGATTGAACCAGCAACCCCTTGATTCACTCAAGTCACTTGGAACATTCTCCTGCCATCGATCTTTTCATATTCCTAGGTACATTATCCAGAAAAGTCCAGTAAATGTTCTCTCCCAGGTGCCAACACCTTGTCTGGCTGATCCACAAATTCTCCTGCTGTGAATTTTACAATGGAGCATCTTCAGACTTCATTTAGCAAAGACTTGGCTAAGGACATGAAACTAAAATGCCTTTGCTTAGTGTGTGTGAAATTGTGCAAAATCATCAGACTTACTTGTAAAAGGTCTTGTTCTCCACCCCGCACTTCCATAAGTGCTTACAGGCTGCAGGGGTGGGGGTGTGAAATGTCAACAGCAGTTTCTTCTGCAGAGAAAAACAATAGACATAGAGAAAATAAAAATACATAGACAACCTGAAGATCTGTGACTAAGGACAAGGGAAATGCTGAATATGATGATGGGGAGCTGAGCAAAGTGCTGACCCACAGACCCAAAAGTGTTTGTTTAGCAAGAATTTAGGGCAGATATAGGGATATTCAGCAGTAAAATTGCCCGCAAACAGAACCTGGTTCTGCTTGAAAGAACAATGGAGAAGGTGTTCCTGTAAAGGTCTAGATTTCAATCCTGCAAGCCTAGTAATATGACCCCAGATCAATGCTGTTCACCAGCAGGGACGAGTCGGTGAAGAGGAGAAACAGAGCGGAACCTAAAGGTCAGTAAAATTGGAGAGAGATGCTGTGAAGCGATTACCTAAACTAAAACCAATGAAAGTCCAAGACAGAGAAAAAGTGTTTTTGTGGTGATGCAGCTTCAACCCGGTCGTACTCGACACATCAGTCAGTTGTTTTGTTTCCCCCCTCCCCTTTCCCCTGTGTTTTACATTTCTGTTTAATAAATAGGTGTGATTTACACACGTGCTGCAGTGTCTGATCACAGGCAGGTGAACCAAAAGTATACATCATTAATTACTTTACTATTGCTAAGATCGGGAACTTGTTCAGCTAGCCTTTGGTAGCATACACTTTCAAAAAAGGACACTTTAGTAGTAATGTAAATAACTAATCAAAAGACTTGAGACCATGGAAAAGCCTAAAAATATGCCAAAATATGTTTAAATGTTAGGCAAAATATAGCAACCGTAGCTAAAAGTAAGCCAGAAATATAAAAGTTAACATAAGCCAAAAAAATTAAGTAGACAAATCAACTATAGGATTAACAGAAAGATTGCAAAAAGCTACCAGACAACAAAATACTACTTTAACTATACACTGTGATTCTAGAAGTAATCACTTGTAAAGCACTGGGAAACTTCATTGGCAGAAATACATGGGAAATCAATGTTTATTTCATTCAGGAGACAATTAGGATAACTTAGGGAAAAGTATATTTATGTTAGGATTGATATCCAGTAAAAACAAAAATTAAATATGCTATCAGCTCAAAGTGGGACAGATGCAGGGCAGATGGCAGTGGTTGGTGAGGTTGAGGGGTGACATCCTTTAGTGAGTGACTAGTGACTGGACACACGTAAACAACAAGGCTGATATGAAGTAATTAAAATACTGTCACAAATATTTACAAAAATAATACCAACACATTTACACACAAACACAGACAACAGAGCACTTTGTCATGGACGGATTTATAGATAATGCACAACAATAGCATATCATCTATGGATCCAGGGGCAACATAGTGATTGTTTCTATGCTGTGGCTAATTTTAAAATTTAAAAAAGTACACCTTACAAGGTGTTTTTAATGACATTTAACAAGGCTGCGACAGGAGCTTAAAATTAAAAACTAAAAGACATATAAAGTAGCTGAAATGAAAATACAGACAACAAACAGCAACAGGACAACCAAAACGCACAAAAATGAAGGTAAAACAGAACTACCGTAATTTCCGGACTATTGAGCGCACCTGAATACAGGCCGCACCCACTAAATTTAAAAAGAAAAGCATAATTGTACATATATAGGCTGCACTTCTCTATATGCCGCATGTGTTCACACTTTAACATGGGATATTTAGACAGAAAGGTTTTATTTAATTTTAATTAACCCTTGTGCGATCCTTTGCATTTTTGTACACACTGTTTGTCCTTGCAATGATTTTCATCTTGTTCCAGAATATGAGTAATAATGAATATGAGGAAAAGTTGGCACAAGTCATGCAGTACAGGAACATGCACACGCACTCATACTCACTCACGCACACACATACACACACAGACACATAGGCATACTGGGTCTAGGTGACCCTGGGGACACCTAGACCCAAAGGACCTTACAAGGGTTAATAAATGTTTTTTTTCCAAATAGTACCTGTAACACGGCTGGTTACAGGTTTGCTCTTTCCTACTTCGGCGCCCCCACAGTAGATCCGAAAGCTAACGTTCACTCCGGGGCTAACTCCCTTCCCTTTGTGCTTGTCCACAAAGGGAAGGGTAAACAGAAACAGGGAAGTTGGGGTCTTTATTATCACCCACACCGAGCACAACAGTACATAAACAGCGTTTTAACAGTTTCTCTATAACCAACACACGCTTCAACATGACAAGAGTCAAACTGCTCTCAACTTTTGCTACCGTTCTCTCTCACGCTCTCGAGCCCCACTCACTTATACGCATTCAGCCATTCACAGGCGCTACTAGTATAACACACAGGAGCCTACCAGAAAAGCCATTGATCGCTAGCGGTATGAACTGCCACATGGTTTGAGCCGCAGGGTTCTAAGAGTGTGAAAAAAGTAGCGCCTTATAGTCCGGAAATTATGGTATATGGAACAGATTAATCCACAGGTAGGAAGGGAAGGAACATTTATTTCTACACATATTTTTTGTGCTGCTGTCATGACTTGTATTTACTCACCCGTGATGACTATGTTTACACACAGAGAGAAAAGACAGAAACACAAAGATATAACTGCATCTTCAGCCACTAGTGGGCAGACAAACAAAGAGACAGACAGAGCGACAGACTGATTGATGAGCTAAGCACAGATGAGACTAAAGCCTCTAGTGGTAAAAAGAGAAATGAGAACCATTAGTGAATATTAACTCATCAATGTGAGATCAACGTAGCTTCAGCTCACGATGGCAAAATTTAAAGGAAATTGAATGTGGCACAGAGACAGCGCTGTAAACATCTGACAGTACAAATTGAATGCACCATAGCATGCTTTCAATCTCACAGCTTTATACAAAATGGAGATTAAAATAAAACTTTCCCAAATGTGAGACACCTTGAAGCTTTACTTTGACAAGTGCACTTTCTTTTTCACTTTCAAGGTGATATATCACATATTTCTCATAGTGATACAGTGCAAGAATCTCATATTTGGGCCACAGCCACAGCTGACACTTGGTGTGATGGTGGTTAGTTGTAACAAACCCACCATCCTGTTACAGTGAATCCTGCCTGGGAAAGGATACAAAACCATCTCTAAAAGTCTGGATGTTCATCAATCGACAGTCAGAGAAGTTGTCTACAAATGGAGAGAGTTTGGCACTGTTGCTTCTCTCCCAAGGAGTGGCTGTCCACCAAAGATGACGCCAAGAGTTCAGCGCAGAATACTCAGAGAGGTAAAAAAGAACCCTAGAGTGTCTGCTAAAGACTTACAGAAATCACTGGCACAGTCCAATGTCTCTGTGCACACATCAACTATATGTAAAACAATGGCCAAGAATGGTGTTCATGGGAGGACTCCACGGAGGAAGCCACTGCTGTCTAAAAAAACATTGTTGGTCGTTTAATGTTCGCAAAAAGGCACTTGGACACTCCACAGAAGTTTTGGCGAAATATTTTGTGGACTGATGAAACCAAAGTTGAATTGTTTGGGAGGAACACACAACGTCATGTGTGGAGGAAAAATGGAACAGCTCACCAACATAAACACCTCATCCCCACCGTGAAGCATGGTGGAGGGTGCATCATGGTTTGGGGCTGTTTTGCTGCCTCAGGGCCTGGACAACTTGCAATCATTAATGGAAAAATGAATTCAAAAGTTTATCAGAATGTTTTGCAGGAAAACCTGAGGCCATCTGTCAGACAGCTGAAGCTAAAAAGAGGATGGATGCTGCAACAAGACAATGATCCAAAACACAGAAGTAAATCAACTTCAGAATGGTTTCAGAAGAATAAAATACACGTTCTGGAGTGGCCAAGTCAAAGTCCAGACTTGAACCCCATTGAGATGCTGTGGCATGACCTCAAGACAGTGATTCATGCCAGACATCCCAGGAATCTGACTG